GGAAGGGAGGGGAGCAGGGGGGAGGGAGGGAGGGAGAAGAGCATTGAAGGAGGAGGGGAGGGATACTTGCAATGGAGATCTCAGGATTTTAATGAAAATTATTTGCCTTTTGATCGGGGGCAAGGGGACCTGTGTTTCGGTGGCACCCTATAGACATGGGGTAGGTATCTATATAAAACAACCGGTGTAGAAAAAAAAGATTGCCGTTGCTAGCTGGCATACGACTCCTTGATTTGAAAACAAAAATACTTATTGGCTAGATTTACTACACTCGTCAATGGCTGACACTAATAAGATTTCATGAGCGTGTATCGAAATATACGAATAACCCTACCCCCTCCATATCAGACAAACATACCGGTACACAGGGAAGAGAGCAGCCAAGAGGCGTGTAAGCCGGAACTCAAATGCTTAAAACAAATATAAAAGAGTACTGAGTGGTACAAATCATTCTGGTACAAAATTGACTAAAAACTGTATGCTTATGATCAAATTAACAGGTACAAGTGTTTGTTAAAAGGATATTAATTTATAATTGGGCATTAGTAAATGCCATGGAATGTGTACATGTGAGCATCGTGCACGATAGATCTTTCAAGATTCGAGCCAAGAGAGGACCCTGGGGCAAAGGGGGCAGCTTGGCAGAGCTGACTCACCTGCTAACCTTGGGCGGCATGACAACGGCTGAGATAGCTGCCGTCTATCGCTATCAGCTGCTGCGCCAGTCCCTTGCAGCGGTCCAACTCCAGCCGCTGGCAGGCATGCTGGTCGCTGGGGCGCCAGGACAGCAAGTCCACAAAGGCTTAGGTCAGAAAGGCTTCATCGCTGTAGGGGCCAACGTCATCTGGAGACAGAGGGAGGTGGAGTGGATCGTCTCCTCGAGCTGCCCAGAGGCGAATGATACAGCATTTCGAGCTTTCCGAGAGAGCGAAGCGATGGAGGGAGTACACCTGACTCTGTTCAGCGAGGACCCGAAGATCAGAGAGGCGCTCGCAGTCGAGTTGACAGCTGATCGCTTTGTGTCCAGAAATAAGTTGAAGAAGGCATCAAGGATGCAGAAGAAGGCAGGCGGCAAGGACGGCAAGGAGATCAAGATCATCATCAAGTCGACGGCGGCATCTGGTCGCTTCACGAGGAAGGAGATGGAGGGGCTGTGCAACGGCGGCAACACGTCTATCGCAAGAGTCAAGAGAGTCTTCTTGGAGATCGCTAACAGGCTCGAGATCAACGTTGAAGGCATCGACATGGAGGAGGATTTGAACACCAAGTCCTGGAACGGGTCCAAGCTATGCATCCTCCTCGGCTCCACGGAGGATGCTCGACGCATGATGAAGGAGCTGCCCTTCTATCTCGAAGGCGCAGCAACCAAGCTCGAAGCAGTCGGCTTCGACAAGGAGCCTGACTCTGAGGCGGCTGGTCAGCGGGGCACCAGCGACGCAGCGCAGCGACAGGAGGAGAGCGAGGGAGAGTGGCTGGAGTTTACAGACCTGGAGAGGATCACAATGGAGGCAGCATCTCCGTCAAGCCAAGAGGACATGCAGCTCGTCAGCGAGCTGTCAGCAGTCATCGAAGATGCAGCTTCTTTGAACGAGGCAGGGACGAGCGAGCCGATCAAGCTGGTCCTGGACAAGGCCGTTGGCAACCTCCACGACACGTTCTACTCTCCGGGGAGCCTGGAGTTCATGGCGCTGGGAGAGTGGGCGAAGATGCCAGAGGAGCAGGGAGTGGGACGCAACGCGCTCAAGGAGAAGCTGGGGAAGTGGCTGCAGAGCAAGCGCTGGACTCGCGTGCAAGGAGAGAGCAAGAAGGCAAGGAGGGGCAGCGCGTTCTCGCCACGGGCAACGGCAGCTGCTGAGCTTGAGCAGGAGGCGGAGAGCGACGACATAGAGCGTCGATCTCTTAGCCTCCTGTTCATAGCACTGAGTAAATTCGCAGAGATGCATGTGCTGGCCTGCTCGCTGAAGGTGGACAAGAAGGACCGACTGCGAGTGGAGATGAGGGAAGATGACGAAGAAGAGGAAGACATGGAGGAAGAGCAAGGCGAGGGCGAGGAAGAAGACGGGGCGAGCCCGTACCGAGCTTGAGCTGAGCTCAAGGTAAGGAGAGAAGGTAGGAGGCGACCGAAGGCCAAGGTGAGGAGAGGCAACTCTCCTGACTGAAGCTGAGGACGCTGAATGGAGGAGGAGTAGGTGGCGACCGAAGGCCAAGGTGAGGAGAGGCAACTCTCCTGACTGAGGCTGAGGAAGCTGAATGGAGGAGGAGTAGGTGGTGACCGAAGACCAAGGTGAGGAGAGGCAACTCTCCTGACTGAGGCTGAGGAAGCCAAGAGAAGACAGCAGAAGTAGAGAGTAGAAAGACGCCTCAGAAGCAGGGTTCGCATTGTAGGCCGTGTACTCCCAGTGCTCGAGCGCCTCTTTAGACTAGGATCAAATTGCATTAGGGTTTAGGGTTTAGAGTTTAGGGTTTAGGGTATAGGGTCTAGGGTGTAGGGTTTAGGGTTTAGGGTTTAGGGTTTAGGGTTTAGGGTTTAGGGTTTAGGAGCCGGCCCTTAGTAAGAGCAGCCGGCCCTTAGTAAGAGCAGCCGGCCCTTAGTAAGAGCAGCCGGCCCTTAGTAAGAGCAGCCGGCCCTTAGTAAGAGCAGCCGGCCCTTAGTAAGAGCAGCCGGCCCTTAGTAAGAGCAGCCGGCCCTTAGTAAGAGCAGCCGGCCCTTAGTAAGAGCAGCCGGCCCTTAGTAAGAGCAGCCGGCCCTTAGTAAGAGCATGCGGCCCTGCGGCGCGTAGGGAGAGCGCAAGGGGACCGGTGGAAGCTGCGAGCAAGAGGTTCATATAGTTCAAACAGCTTTCTAAGCATGGTACTACAGTATGATGAGAGCGTTCGCAACCTGCTGTATCGGAGATCATGCCAATACACGCAGGGTGAGCGCTCAGGAGGCCACGTCGAGGAGGCCGCCGACCTCGTCGAGAAGGTGAAGAACTTCACCAAGCGTTATCCGAATAGTCGGACAGCTTATGCTTGCAGAGCTGAGGGGGGATGCACTCCCGACGCTATCGCTGAAGCCATCCGCTCGACATGTCGGCAGGCGAGACGCGACCTGTTTGAAGACTCTCTGAGCGAATGGAGCTCAGAGTCGAAAGCATGGTTTATTCAACAGATGGAGGAGGCCAAGAAGCAGAATGTCGAGACATACATCGGCACCGAAGACACCGAGGGGACCTCCTTCATCTCCATGACTCTCCTGGGCATCTCCTCGATGTATGTGCGACAAGAAGACAAATTGAAAATGAAGTTGACGGAGCTGGGACTCATAGTAGACTCAGTCGATAGAGACGACAAGTCCATCATGTGGAAAGCACCTTACAGACCTGAGATAGCACGAGCAGACGACATCTCAGTCACCATCTCCTTCCTTCGGAATGAAGCAGCCATCGCACTCTGGCAAGGCAGCAGAGAGTACAGCATGGACGGGCGAGTTTTCAGAGCAACTGAAGTCAGCATTGCACACGACCGGTCGTTCAAGCTCCGAGCCAAGCGAGGACCTTGGGGCAAGGGAGGGAGCCTTGCCGAGCTATCGCAGCTCCTAGCTCTTGGAGGAATGTCGACGGCGGACATAGCTCGGATCTATCAATTCCAACTGATCTCGCAATGTCTCGCTGCGGCAGAGGTACAACCGCTGGCGGGCATGCTCGTGCAGGGTGCTGGGCAGAGAGGTCGCAAGGGGCCGAGCCCGAAGACGTATGTTGCTGTTCAACGGTTGGAGCAAGCACCGGAGCTCTGCAGCAGAGAGAGCTCGAGTGGGTACTATCCTGCCCATCGACGGCCAGCTGCGAGCAGACCTTGGCCTCGTTCAGAGAGAGCGAGGCGATGGAGGGGGTGCACCTGACTCTCGTCAGCGACGACGCCAAGCTCAGAGAGACGTTTGCAGTCGAGCTCACAGCAGACACCTTCGTGCCGAGAGGAAAGATTGCCAAGCAGAGAAAGGTACTTCGCGACAGGGAGCAGGCCAGGCGCGGCAGTTTCAGGGTGCAGATCAAGTCGAGGTCAAGCATGAGCACAGGCCGCTTCTCGAGGAAGGAGATGAAGCGCTGTGCTGGAGGAGGTTATCACATCGATCACGCGAGTCAAGCGAGCCATGTTGAGTTAGCAGAAGATACATCAGCTGCAAGCGCTGGCCAGGTAGTGCGAATAGCGGATTATACGCGATCCTCCTCTTTTTTCTTTTTTTCTCTTTTTTTTCTTTCTCGACGTC